AAGAAAGAAAGAAAGAAAGAAAGAAAGAAAGAAAGAAAGAACGGAGGGAGGGAGGGAGGGAGGGAGGGAGGGAAGAAGGGAAGAAGGGAAGGAAAGAAAGAAATCACCCAGTAATGGTGATGACAGAGTATTCTCTGTATTATCGAGATTTAAATAAGTTATCAGCTCCACTGTACTACTTAATAGAAAGAGCTTATATGTGTGGCTCATTTTGTTCCTAGTATGTCTTCTACAGTAGTAGCTCTTAGGCATGCAGGTGGTCTTCAACTTACAATCATTTGTTTGATGACCATTCAAACTTGTAACAGCACTGCAGAAAGTGACTTACGACTGTTTTTCACACTTACAACCATTGCAGCATCCCCATAGTCACATGACTAAAATTTGGGTGCTTGGCAACTGGCATATATTTATGATAGTTGCACTGTTGAATGGTCATGTGACCTCCATTTGTAACCTCCCCAGTTGGCTTCCAACAAACAAAGTCAATGGAAAAAGTCAGATTTTCTTAATGACCGTACGATTAATTTAACAACTGCAATGATTTGGTTAACAAAGGTCATAAAATAGGGCAAACTGACTTAACAACTGTCTTGCTTTAGCAATGGAAAGTTTGGGCTCAATTGTGGTTATAAGTTGAGGACTATCTGTATTAAACAGTATTACTCAAGAACCTCAACTACATCTGAAGACTCTTGGGAGTATGAATGTTGAGGAATTGATTCTTCCCATCTCATCAGCTACAGACCACAAGAGGGAAGTAGAATGTAGGAAGAAAGTTAAGGATTTACTCCCTCTTTGTCAATAACTTTGTTTGCAGTTGTTTAATAGATTGCTATTTCTGGATCACTTCCTTCTGCTTCTCAAGTTCTCACACACAAAACACATCAACCTCTAAAAAGAACTAAGAATGCTGTGGGTCTCCCCCCCCCCCCCCCAAGAAGTTGCAATGCAAATTTATTTAGTCAGCATAGATTTAGAAGTGTGGTCATGTGGTTTTAAAGTAGGTTTGATAGTAGCATTGTTATCCCAAATGTCATCTCTCAAAAACTTCTCAGCATGACATTATAGTGCTATAGTGCTAAAGAAACATCTGACAAAGGTGTACTTCATATTCTCAATAAACTAACAGTCATAGTGGTGCAGTGGTTAGAATGCAGTAATGCAGGCTAATTCTGCCAGAAGCTAAATCCTGACAGCCTTAAGGTTGACTCAGCCTTCCATTCTTCCAAGGTCAGTAAAATGAAGACCCAGATTGTTGGAGGCAATATGCTGACCCTGTAAACTGCTTAAGAGAGGATTGTAAAGTACTATGAAGCAGTATATAAGTCTGAGTGCTAATGCTAGGCTTCTGTCCCCTGTATAAACTGCTGTCAACAATCCTGAGGGCTTTATATCTAACAACAAAATGATATGAAACATCATTGTCCTCTAGAAAATGCTGGGACTGCTGGAAAAAAATCCTATACCAAAACAGCTTCTACCTATAGGAAAGCTATGGATTTTCTGTTGTTTATGTAGACAATTACTTGCCTAATGTTGGCGCTCTAATAAAAGAGCCATCAGCAGATAGATAGAATTAGTTATGATCTACCACACAATCAAATGCCTGATTCAAACCATGCACTGCAGACTAAGGCAGACCAATTAAAATAGAGCTGCCACCATTTCCAACCACCTGATAATGCCCAAGAAGACTTCAATCATGAAACCAATCCCACAAAATTCAAATTCCACACAATTATAAATGTTGCAAAGTGATACCGACTTCTCAACCCTTGCTCCAAGGAAGGCTTCCCAGGATGTAATGTGGCACTTTTGCAGAAAAACCCTAGTTATCTACTTTGGTATAGATTTCGCTAAGCTTAGATAACCCCAACAACAATTTAAATTCCCAATGATGTATCAAAATACAACCCCCTCCACTCCCAGAATCAATAAATGCAATTCCTTACCTACAGTGATACAATCCTGAATCTTGAGCTATTGTAGGGATAAACCAGAGGCTGGTATTCTGTTGGAATACTCTTGAAAAAGGCGGTGTAATCAAAGGTGTGTCATTTCCATTCATGTACCAGTTCAGGGTAAAGTTTGTACGTTGATAGTGTGAAATTGGGCAGTCAAGCCTAAAAGGATTGTTTTCTTCAAATATCTTCTCCCTTTCATATTTCTGGAAACATTTCTCTACATGAAGGGGAGGAAATCATTGTGTTTTAAACAATACATTCCAACAATAAGTCCATTGTTTAAAAAAAACTATCAAAATCCACCCAATTTGGATTGTGGCTGTGATCATTTGGGGGGGAGATCCTAAGCATGTTTGTAACACTGTTGCAGCCCTTGAGCTAAACAAACTCATACTTAATTTTCCAAGAATTTACATTGCAGATACATTTTGGGGAATGCTTTTGTAGTACTCTGTTTTGAAAAATATTGACATGCAAGTTTAGCTATGGCTACCCAATAGCAAAGAAACGCAGTGGCTCAGTGGCTAAGATGCTGAGCTTGTCAATCAGAAGGTCGCCAGTTCAGCAGTTCGAATCCCTAGCGCCGCATAACTGCGTGAGCTCCCATTATTTGTCCAAGCTTCTGCCAACCTAACAGTTCTAAAGCAGGTAAAATATGCAAGTAGAAAAATAGGGACCACTTTGGTGGGAAGGTAACAGCGATTCGTGCGCCTTTGCTATTTAGTCATGCCGGCCATATGACCACTGAGATGTCTTCGGAGAGCACTGGCTCTTCGGCTTAGAAACGGAGATGAGCACCGCCCCTAGAGCAGGAAACAACTAGCACACATGTGTAGGAGAACCTTTACCTTTACCTTACTCAAAAGCAAATCTCAGTTCATTCAATGGCACTTTTTCTCAGACAGTTTTTGATAGGACCGTCGTCTTCATCTTATTTTGTTTATGACAGCAGCTTGCAGTTTCCATCATTTATGGCTTACAATATAAATTAAGAAATGAGGAAAACTTTCTTATTTATCCCCTTATCTCTACACAGTCACCTTTGCTTCTCCAACATTTAGGGTGTTGGAGCAGCAGGGATTATCCGGTTTTCAGAGAAGAAAAGATCAGGGCCTTCACAAAAGGAAACATCCCCAATTTAATTTGCCTGGGATCCATTTCCATTTACCTCAAAAAACTTAATAAGCACTTCGATATCTCAAATATGGAAAAAAGTGCTACAATGAATGTGCTTACATAGGTAGTTCTTGATTTACAGCAGTTCATTTAGTGAGTGTTCAAATGGCATGGAAAAAGTGACTTAGAAGCATTTTTCATATCTACAGCCATTGCGGCATCCTCATAGTCATGCGATCAAAATTCAGATGCTTGGCAACTGACTCATATTTATGACCGTGGCAGTATCCTGGGGTCACGTGATCCCCTTTTGCGGCCTTCTGACAAAGCAAAATCAATGGGGAAGCCAGATTCACTTAACAACCATGTTACTAACTTAACAAATGCAACGATTCACTTAATAACTGTGGAAAAAAATGTCATAAAAGAAATCAAAATTCACCTAAGAAATATGTCACTTAACAGAAATGTTGAGCTCAATTGAGGTCATAAGCCAAGCACTACCTATAATCATAATCATAATCCTGCTACAAAACCACACTGAACCTCTGCACTGAAATATTTAATTCACTTTTATGACTCCTTTATGAACCATGGTATAAATTAGAACAGCGCAAAAAGAAGAGATAAAATCAGCATTACAAAGCTAACAGCAATAGCGATCTAAATACAAATCTAAAGTTATCTTTCTTTTCATGAAATAGCATCTCAGAAATCCACTTTGGAATTGATTCTATTAGCTAGACCTGTGTTTCTCAAACTTGGCAACTTTAAAATGTGTACAATTCAATTATCACACTGGCTTTTAGCAGTTAAGTTTATGTATTATAAATTGTCATTATAATTAGCCACTTAAAAAATAGCATAGCTCACTTTACACTTCTTTCATACTACTGTACCAGAGTCTGTAATTCAACCTAGGTCAGCATGCATTCCACAGTATGAAACACTTTTGTCCATATTGCACAGAAAAATTGCCTGCTGAATTTTAAAAGAAAAGTAAAAGTTTACATCTAATAACCAGTGTAATTAGCATAAATACAATTGCTCCATTTTTAAACTCTCACTGAGTATTTGAGAAAGTTGTTTACAAGGAACTCACCTGATTTGAGTACACAGATAAATGAGAGGACTAGAATACAGTAATCAGCTAAAGCAGGTTTCATGTTTTACTCTACAAAAAGGAAAGAAGCAAAAGACTCAATACATTCAAGCTGTAAATATTTGATACTTTTCCGTTTTCAATTATTATCATTTACAAGAAACCTTGCTGTTTCTTCATTTTTCCCTCCAGTCCTCCCACACATACAACCCCCCCCCCCAAAAAAAATGTCAGTATGGTACTGTACAGTAAAAGAGAATTAAATAAAACGTCTCTGGATAATTTACTTTGTTAGGCAACAAAGGTTTTTTAGTATTTTTTTTCCATTTATTGAAGATTACAAAAAATAAAGAGAAATAAAAAAGATAAACAAAAAGAGATGCAAATTAAAGACCGATACATGAAAAATAAAATTATACAGAACTAAATTATAGGAAGGAAAAAAAAACACCCCCTCAAATTTAAAAATCAGAATTAACATTGCCAATAGTAAATATATTGAATATGTACGAGTATGCCTGTGCATGTGTATTAGTAATCATTAGTTTACACAAAAGTTATTTCTAACAGTATCTTACTATTAATTAGTAAAAGATATAAATAATTTAAATATAACTTTATTGTTGAACTATCAACATGAAATCCATGCCAAAGAAAAGCCATCACACTAAAACATTATCTAAAAGAAATAAAATGAAAGAATCTTGGAATCAGCCATTAGTTATCTGTCCCCAAAATAGTCATCAAGATCAAGATCTTCCTAGGCAAAACTGTATCTTATGAAAGTACATGGAATCTTAATTCAACTACTGTTATAATTTGGTTAATGATTAAGGACAGTTACAGCTTTTTTTTTTTTAATTTCAATGTACTAGCTGCCCAACTCCAATATCTTTACTATCTGCTCAAAAGTAAGTCAATTCAAAATATTTACTCTCTCTGGTAATTAACTAAAATGTTACTTACTTTATATTCAAGTAATATAACAAATCAGTGTTCTTTATTAGCTTCTAGTTTCATTTAAAACTGAAATATTGTCTACTTGCTGAAAGTTATTAGTCACAGAGAGTTGATAACAATGTTTATGTACTCCTAAAATATACATTACTAGTGGTAAAATGTATAATAATCCCAAAATAAATTGGATACTTTTCTACAACATTGTGCAAATTATTTAGAAAACTGGAATATTATGTCCATCTTCAGATAGCAATTAAAAACAAAAATTAGCATAAAGTCCATTTAAATAAAAAAACCTATGAAATTTAAAATATACCAATATATTTAATTATGCAATTATTTTGGCAAAATAGGCAATCCCATTACTGTATAAGAAAATCTATTTGTTTCAAGAAGTAACCCTATTATGTTCAACGTGATTTATATAGATACAGCACAATAGCTATTTTCTAAAAACTGTAGCTTATTATGCTACCGTTTTGTAATAATATTAAATAAAATCTACTCACCTCAGAAAAAAGGAAGCTATTAAATAGGTTTTAAAAATTTCGTAGCAATTTATGGTGAAACCCGTAGTCTTTTCTTTTCCCCGGAAATGCTTTTCCTGTGAAGATAACTGGACGTAAAACTTCCAATTGGAAATTCAAGGTGGCAAGTAATACTTTTAAAGGAAGTGAACTGCCTTTCGCTTAACCTTGGCCGGAAAATTTTACAGATTTGCATAATCTCTGTAAAAAGAGCTTTTCGGCAACGCAGAAACCTCAGAGTTTCTGCTGGCAAATTCTCCCCCCGGAAGGAAGCTCTCAAAGCCATCACCATCCGTCAGGAAAGAAATAAAAAAAATTAGACGAGGAATCACGGAACAGCTGCTTCTTTGCCTATTAAACCGGTTCCACCAGCTTCTTGGTAAAGAAGCCATCTGAACTCAGTGCACAGACAAATTCAATGTTGCGGAATACAGGGCAAATTCAGTGTTGCGGGAAAAGGAAGAAAGCTTCCCGCTAAAAAATGTCTCAATCTCTGTATTGTCCGTCCGTCTGTCTATCTATCCATCTGATAGAAGATCTACGGCTCTTCTATCTATCTCTTGAAGTCGTCCTCAATATGTTTGCAGCAGATGGGATGTTTAATACCATATCAGTGCCAAAACGTGAGATGAGCCGCGTATAAATTTAAACAAACAAACAATGGTTTAAAGGACCCCACCTACCACCTTTCGATTCCCAGCCCCAAGTATTTCAGACACACAAAGTATAGTCATCTGACCTGAACAAGAACAATCTTAAGGCCCCATGAAGAGGGAAAAATAGATAAGGTGATTAGCTTAGCTGATTTTCAGGTAACACAAAGGAAGGGATTCGCCATTGCCTCCTTTTGGGGTGTTTTCTCGACTTCCACTGGGTGATCTTCGGGTGAGTTCTCATCCAAACAGTAATTGCAACCTCCCTGGCTTTGAGCAGCCAGCCGAGTGCGGCTCCTCGAGCGTTATAAACGCGAGCGCTTGGCTAGGAAGTGGCTAGACTTGCAAGACGACTAACGCACCAAGAGGGGAGCCGTAAAACGTGTTGTGTGGGTGTTTTTATGTAACGAGCACCTTTTGGCGCAACAGATAACCCTGCTACCTTCTACCCACCCCAGCCCTCTCTCTGGAAGCTGTTAACTCCAGTCCAACTCCAGGAGGACTGGAAAGTGGGCCGGGCCGGAGTGAAAGGCAGGAATGAAGTGGAATCTCAGCCTCGCTTTCAATGCCGGGACCGGGACACTTGAGAGCACCTAGAAATAGCAGTAAGAAAGCAACAGGTCGTTTGGCTCAATATTTGGGATGGGTGGGAGGATTGTCGTGAGAACCTAATGTTGCGGAGGAAGTTTTTCTGGTGCACCGACTTCTTCGGTAGGAAATTGTGTCATAGTGCGCATATAGCAATTGCTGTTGCAACCTCGGACACTCCAAAGTCGAAGAGCTTCCGCGGCTTCTCTTTCCAGGGGCTTTTCTCCGCCTCCGCCCGGCCAAAAGCACGGTTGCAGAAGCGGCAACGAAAGGAGGCCCGCCAGTCACGGCATTGGCGGGAACAAACAAATCGACTCCGCTCGGAAGCCTCGCCTTCCTCGCGAACCAGGGCAAGACTGTCAGTTGGCGCCCAGTACGCCAATGCGCGCAAAAAAGGGGGAAAGAGGGTAAAATTTCACTGAACCCCAGGCGGAATTTAGAGGAAAGTCCCTCCGTCGATAACATCGCAGGACCGTTATCGGACTATTTCGCTTAAAGATCGCGTATAGTAATTCCGAAAAATTGTAAGCTGCTTCGTTCCATGCTAGCTATTCCGCACCTCCCTTGATAAAGAAAATGGAGCCTAGCCAGAAGTTCACAATCATGCTGCACTCTGAACGTTCCTGTTGGATCCCCTGCTTGACTGAGCTGTCCAGGCTTGCGAACTGTTTTCTTCCTTCCCTTTCAATTGGATCCTCTTCTTCACCCTTTGCGCTGTCAGATCCGGGAGAGCGATCCACTTGTTTGTGCTTCGGCCTTCTGGAAAATGAAGCCCTCTGCAAGGCTGCTGAGGAATTTCTGGAGCCCTGTTGGAGCCATTGAATCGATTTTTCCAACATTATGTCCAGATGGCTTCCATTCTGTTGCTTTGGGTCCAAGCTTGTGTGTCCTGATGAAGTAGAGGATGCAGTCAGTTCTAGAGCAGAAGCCTAGGTATTGCCTAAAAACTAATGAGAAAAATTAACACCATGCTTTTGAGAGCATATTGTGATGCTCTCAAGATTCCAAAATACCTTCCTGGGCTCTATAGACAGATTCACTGTTATTGTAGATATAGTATCTCCAGTGCTTGCTGACTGATGGGAAATATGCTTAGCAGTGGTGGGATTCAAAACATTTTACTACCAGTTCTGTGGGCGTGGCTTTGTGGGTGGGGCTTTGTGGGCGTGGCAGGGGAAAGTTACTGCAAAATCCCCATTCCCTTCCCACCCACTAATCTGCTTTCCAGCTCTTGTTCAGGGCAACAAAAGAAGATCAGCTGGGAGGCAATTGGGGGGGGGGGCAGCCTATTTGCCAGTTCTCTGAACTACTCAAAATTTCTGCTATTGGTTCTGCAGAACCTGTCAGAACCAGATGAATATCACCTCTGATGCTTAGTACAAAATAGTACAAAGTAATCAAAGATCCTTTTAAGCATTGGCCTGACTGTTTTCACCAAGCTACCTTGATGTTTAGGATGGCTGAATCTTCCAAGTGTCACAAGCTGTTTTACAAAAATTAATTTTCCAAACGCACTGTGTACATTGTCTCTGCTTTCAATTACATTTGCAATCAATTTGATTTGAATAATTAATCTTAACTTTTATTAAACTATTAACTATTCAATTTTATTGGCAGCTACATAAATGCGGGCAGTTTCTGCCTTTTTCCAAAATGTTTTTAAGATTTCCAAGTTGAGCCTGCTTAACTTTTGGAGATCTGCCAGGATTAGCTAGAGGCTGCTAGAATGTCCACAGCATAATTCCTGTGAATTTTATAGTTCCTGATTATTCTTCAGTAAAGGTTGATTTGTTTCAGTTGCTTTTTTCTTTTTATATTTTTCTGATATTCTCTCCTTAAGGTAAAATCATTATAAACAGTTGCCCAAATATTGTGATATAGCACTTAGACTTATAAACCACTTCACAGTGCTTTACAGCCCTCTTTAAATGGTTTACAGAGTTAGCATATTACCCCCAACAATCTGGGTCCTCATTTTACCGACCTCAGAAGGATCGAAAGCTGTGTTAACCTTGAGCCGGTCAGGATCGAACTGCTGGCAGTCAGCAGAGTTAGCCTGCAATACTGCATTCTAACCACCCGCTAGAGAGGGCTGTAAAGCATGTGAAGCATGTAAGTCTAAGTGTTAGGGACTCAGGGTTTTGGACAAAGTTATGTATGAGGGTTAAGATACAAATGGCTGAAAATGATTATATCAGATCACTTCTACTCATTTTCTAAGACAATTCCACAGCTTTAACAATATCACTGGAAAAACTGTCCTAATTCCCCCACATTTTTTATAACCGAAGAATTTTCTGAATCAAGTTCACATAAAGCATGCAGTAGCTTTTATTTAAATAAGGTATTGTGATGAGCATTAATCATGACAAAGGCTGCAGCTGACTGGTCTGTTATGTCCAAAATTTTGTTGGTCTTTTCAGATGGATACATAACATATTATTATTGAACATTTCATGTCAGTATTTTCCCATTCAGGTTTTCTAAAGCCTTTGATACAGTGGTTTTAATTTTTTTAATCTTTCCCATTTAATTTCATTCTTCAGGTGCCTTTCTCAGAACTCAGGTGAGTGTTGCAGCACATTACATAACAAAGACACAAAGATTTCATACGAATAGCTTTATTTTGTGGTTTATAAGATTTATTTATTTGTTTGTTTATATTTATATTTCACATTTCTGAACTACTTATCTCTCGCAAGGAGAGATTCTGAGCAATGTACAATAACATATCAAAATATAAAACAGTATATAAATATTGAAATGTTAAAGTTACAAATTTTAAAAAATAAGCAGGCAAGAATAATTAAACCCTTTTGTACAGCAGTTGACAAAGGCAAGGGCTCCCATTGCACCAATCAACCCCATGGCTGTATGGGTTACACAAGGCCTCAGAACCATGTTTTGACCCCCTTTATCATTTTTATTATTAAAAATAGTATGCGAGCCAGTGTCGTATATTTGTTAAGACATCAGGCTAGAAATCAGGAGATTGTGAGTTCTAGTCTCATCTTAAGCACAAAGCCAATCAAGCAAATCTTGGGCCAGACACTTTCTCTCAACCTGAGGCAATGATAACCCACATCAAAAATCTTGCAAGAAAACTTCAGGAACTTATCCAGGCAGTGTCTGAAAATTGGACATGACAAGTACAGGAATAATTTGTACAATTGTACCCTAATTATACAAAAATTAGCTATATAATCAAATTATTAAATCTGGGCTCCCATACTACAAAATACAATTTCTGAAAATAAGGTGAAATGCTTGCATTGCATATATTTAGTGATTTGAAATATAACAATTGTTCCTGGACTAGTGACAAATCACTCAATTCAAAATAATTCATTTAATAACAAAAGTTAAAAAAATTAAAAAGTCAAACTAAAATTAAAAACCATGTTTTACCCTTGCTTCCTGGTAAGGCAATTTATTTAAATATGTCATTTCTATTTTTCTCCTTTGGAGATACTATAGTAACACCCATAGTATATGGATTGTACCAGATTCCATATGTAGTGTATTTGGAATATATAGTAACTCTATACAGAGAGTAAGTACATGCCAACATATTTTTCACAACTATCCTGAATCTTCCATTTAATTAAGGCAGTACAAGCAAAGGTGTATTGTATAGACACTGTTGTTCAAAGGACAGAAATATGTCCATCTTATCAACTTAAAGCCATACAGGCTGTTTTTCAATGGAAATTCTAGGAACGATACCAGTTAAAGGAAGGACTAGAGTTCACCCTTAAAAGGCTTGAAATTCAAGAATTAAATCCTTGCTGATAGTTATAATAAACATCAGTGCTAGATCAGTATTTACCATTTTGTTCAAACCCTTAGGGTTTAGATTTAAACTCTTTTTCATATAAAGTTTCTTATAGAATAGCTCCTTATATACTCACTTATTTTGCATGTAAAATAATAGTATGCAAAATAATTTTGACTTCTTCCTTGTGCAGCATTCACATTATTTTGCCACTTGCCCAAGTAGCTCATGCACCTCACAGTCTATGGGTGAATACCCTTTCAGAAAGTACAGTTCTGAATTGTGTTTCTGTTGATCCCAGACTTGGAACAGTCACTAGCAGGTGCACGTGTTTGTGCATCTATAAGGATCCACTGGAATAGATTTCAAGTAAACACTGCAAGTGTTGCTTTGACATCATCCGTCTGATATCTGAGACAAGTGAAAAGTTATTGGCAAAAAATGCAAGTCTTGGGAAAGTGAGCTTGGGCTGGCTGGCATCTGGTATCTCACATTCTTCCAAAACCTTGTAGTTGCCATTTCAGTGGTTTCTGTAAAAGTTCCCCTCCATGTGAGTATGCCATGCTTTTGCTTAAGATATCTGAGGGATTCTGGCATACTATTGAAATCTTTTATTTTGTCTAGCTGAATAAGTATAACTTTGGTTTCCTCCTGGATAAGAGCACTGTAGATTGCAAGTTCCTGTTCAGACAACAAACTCTGCATACCACCACAATATAGATCTGGCATTAAAATAATGATCACTCTTCTGCTTAGCTTGATCATTTTATCCACAATAGTAATGACAGCTGTGAATTAAAAAAAACCTGAATCAATATGGGCCAGGTAAGGCATACATTTTTATAAACATTGCTTAATTTTAGACATTATGAATAGTGTTTCTTGAATCTAAATAAGTGAACTGAATTGAATTGAATAATCTCAATTCCTAATGACTTCATGGAAACCTCTCCCTAGTTTTCTTAGTAAAAACAGGGAAATGGTTTGCAATTGCCTACTTCTGAAAAAAATTCATTTCCCCTACTGT